AAACTCCTAGAAAGCATATACTGACATGATCGGTAACTTAAGGAATAGTCACATAAATAGCAACACCTTCTTAGAACCAGCGTTCATTTTAGAATAATAAAGATCCTCTCACTTGAACCCTTCAACAGTTGACGCTGTAAAGTAATCAAGTACAGTATCTCGAACTAAAATAAGATGATGTCGATGAGAACATTAATTATGTAGATATCAGAACAAAACTATTTTGTCAAGAGAATCTAAAGTTTAGAGATTATGGAATCTCTCACACTCTCTCTGAAGGCGAACATGCTTATCTACAGGGGAGATCAATCACAGTAACTACCATCTGTACAAATTTTACCGAGATTGGCAGAAAAAAAACTAGATCTTATGTTAATACTAATCTTTCTTATAGCCTTCAAAATAGTCTCATGAGCGAATACAAGCATTGCAACGCTTAATCCAATATCCCATACACTTGTTATAAGCCTCGGCTGGGATGGCTTTTCGCGAATTTTGATCTCCTTTTTAAAACGTCTTACTTTGACGTCTTCTCATGCACCTGCCATTAGTAATGATGCATTATCAAGCATCTCTTTTGTGACCTCTACTGGACTATAGTCTTTTGGTACGAGTCTAGCATTGACGCTTCATACCCAAAACATTAACCAAACTGTGTCTTTATTTAAATTCTCTGCTTTCTCTCTGATGCCAACACGACGAATTTCAAGTACTATTTCATTAACTTTTTCAATGTTATCGTGGTTAACATAGGTGGATGAAAGACTCGCATAAGACAAGTTTTCGATGACTTCACTGAATTCTTTGTGCCGTTCAAATACTTATGTTCGCGATAAATTAAACTCCCCAAAATACTTCTGCAACATTTTCAAAGATTCCATAGCTTTGATTCCGTCGAAAACAAAAAATTTCAAGCAAACTCGTTGTTCAAATATAGTAAAATTCGCCAAACAAACTTTTCTCGTCGTAAACAAACAGCTACCAAACACACTCTATTGACATATAAAGGTCAAACTTTACACAAACGTAAAAAAAGGTTACACCAAGAAATCAAAAAAGAAAACATCGATTCGGTTTACACACGCAATTTAAATGCACTAGTCCGGGTCAAAGTTGATCAGATAGTAATTTGTTTACTGTCTGAGCGGCAACCCAAAGGTTATTGGTTTTATTCCCAGGTACATTACATGTTAAACTACCGTCTTCGTATTTGGGTAATTAAAAAGTAAGATGTTAGGACAATGGACTCTCTACGAAGTTGAAGCATTCGATCTAGTTCATAATTAAATTTTCTCTATTCTCAATTTTGTATATCTTGCTGCAACTGTTGTACCGATTTTTAACGTTCAAACTACAAGTTAAAATTCTTCTTCTAAGAGATACTCAGGCATGTATTAAATTGCAAAGTAGCCTTCTTTTTAAACACACCCGTAGATATTTTTAAATTATAAGAAATATTTTTCGGCATTGAATTTATCTCGAAATATAGTATTTCTGCACTATTTTTTGCGAAGTTAGGATTAATCCCAAACAGCTTGAGTTTCTCATATGACCAGTAATAAAACTTTTTCAGAGTGTGAAACATTTGCTCAATCAAATATAAGCCTATGTGAGATAATAATTATGAAAAATAAACGGTTTTGACCTGGTGTAATATTAAATTGTTTCTACGAGTTTAGATTCAGACAGGGTTTTGAGTTCCGATTAATGAAATTGTAACTGTTTTAACTATAACTGTAACTGGATTAATGCAGTCGACAGTGATATTCACTGATAAGGCTAAATATAAGCTAATTAGTCTAAAGTTAGCGAAATATAAAATATAAAATTAGAAAGTCCACTGGTACTAAATACAATATTAATGATATATGGTGCCCTAAAATCGTGAATATCCTTATCGGTATTTAAAAAACAATTCATTTGTCATTGACTTTTCCGCTCTCTAATGTAAACGCGTATATAAGCTACTCGTAACATTTAACAAAGCTTTTATCGAAACACTTGTTAAAGTTTTACATACTCACACAAACACCAATAACATGTCTTGTCGTTTAAATATTGCAAAATTTGCTTCATTGCAGTTAAACATTTATGCTACAATATGTGGCATACATTTTGGCGTTAGAGCATAAATGGTGTCAGCACTTCACGAAACCCAAAGTGAACATAAAATTTGCATGCAATTTGGATTGTGTAAACATTGAAATGAAGAGCGAAAGAGCGGTAGAAGTGGTCCAAAACAAATGGTACAATATGCAGCAAACACACACCCACACATACATACGTACAATGCATTAATATAATACATTAATACGTATATATATGATAAGTTTATGTTTATCTAAGTGCCTCTTGAACGCAGCCTTATGCGGTATTTTATGGCGTTAATGTCGTGTGTGGTAAGCGCCGAGTCGGCCAAATGTCAAATCGTTTCCGACGCGCCGAGTTTTGTGTGTTTATTTTTATATTTAAATATATGTATACGTATACACTTTTATGCGCATTTCATTTGTTTGCTGACGCGAAAATATGCATTTGTGTTGAGTAGTTGGTGGTTTTGCATAATTATTGTAGAGATGAGGAGATGAGGCATACAACGAAGAGTTGCCATATATGTTAATTTTCATGGAGGAACTTTGTATATATATATTTGTAATAATAATAAAGAAGAAAAATATATTATTATATTTATACTTTACGAATAATAATAATAATTCTCATCACTATTTTCCAATTTTGAAAATAAAATACAACGTAACAAATTATTACCACGGGTATCGATATCTTAAATAAAAGACATCTCCGGCGAACTCTACGGCAAATGGGGCAAAATAATTAAATTAGTGGGAAAATCAAATAAAGCTAGAAAGGAGGGGCGCAGTTCGGATGTAACCGAACATTTCAGATTAGGCAAACTTGGTTGTAAGCATGTTGCGAAAGAATTCAAGATTAATTTTTTGACGAATACGTGAATGAATTACAATCAAATCTGTATCTTATTAACTTTTATTGATTGTCTGAGCGGCACTCCAGAGGTTATTTGTTTTATTCCCGGGTGCATTGCATGTTGAACTACCGTCTTTGGGGTAATTCGAAAGTAAAAATGTTAGGAACGAAGTTAAATCATTCAATCTAGTTCTTAATTAATTTTCTCTATGCTCAGTTTTGTATATGTTTTTCTGTAAGTTTTGAGGGACTGTGCCTTCTGAAACTCTTGTACCGATTTTTAGCGTTTAAACTATAATATAAAATTATACTTTCCAGAGATACTTAGGCGTGTATTAAAATTGTAAAGAAGTCTTCTTTTTAAACACACGTAGATATTTTTAAATTATAAGAAATATTTTTCGTTATGGAATTTATTTCGGGTTCTCTCTGGTGAAAATTTGTATATTATTAACTTTTATTTCAGGTCATAGATTAAATTAGTTTTATAACCTTAGTAAAGTCAACTAGATGTTTGAATATCTTAATATTAATTATATGGAGTCTACGGAAAGTTTTCACCCAATTTTATCCATTTTAGGCACAAAGATATATGGGGCATAAACTCAGCCGAAAGCTCGCAAATCTTTGTATTTGTTATATAGAGGCTAACGTAATTATTGATTCAACCTATTTTTGACATACAGGCATACAGGCATATTTTTATCAGAAAAACCGTTATATGGGGACTGCGCGGGGTACAATCGGATTTTACAGGGTGGGTAGGGATGCCAAAAACATTTGCTGTGAGCGAATTTGGTCAGTAGATCTTCATAGTTCTAGAGTTAAACTTATAAGAGGGCAGGAGCATGCCACTTTTAATAAATTTATGCAATAGTTCCTTATTATGTAGCTAAGTTATGACACTTTATAAGTTTTTGATTAATGGCATAGCGTGACAATGGTTCGATACCGCCCATTTTCAATACCTCCCTGGATACCTAGGAACATGTGCAACAAGTTTCATCAAGATATCTCAATTTTTACTAAGATATCGCTTGCACGGACGGACGGACGGACAGTCACTCGGAATTGAACTCGTCTTATTATTCTGATCATTTATACATATGGTATATAACTCTATATCTAACTCGATTACCTTTAGGTGATACAAACAACCGCCAGGGGAACCAAACTGTTATACTCTCTGTTGCGAGAGTATAAAAATACCCAAAGATTCATTATCAGAATATTTCAACTAACCAAGTAATAGGCAAAGTACTCGTTGCTCTTGACTTAAAAAATTGGGACAAGTTTAAAAGAATTGTCAATAATGTCATTTTTACTCGCTTATTGCTCTCCGATTCATACGCAAATATTTTTCTCAGGTACATTGAAGAGGCTCACATAAAAGGGGCATCCTTGTCATTATTCGATTTCCAGTCAACTTTCCTTTAGTATGAATTCTACTGATTCATGACACATAAGCTCTATTTGCTTGTTCCAGAGTGCGGTTTTGTATTTATAGGGTGCCTCTTTAGAGTTATTGAATTTTGACAACTATACTTGTCAAACTAGCTAATAAATATATGTGTTTGACATTTCCGTTCAATACACTTAACTAAGTCAAAAATCACTATTCTATATAAAGCAACTACAAGTAGAATTGGCCTGCAGGAAAACAATATTCGGTTTATTGACGATTTATGCCGAAAATGGCGAAGTAAAATTTGACATGTAGCCTTGGGGTACACAATTTGCGACTTAATTAATAATAAAGATAAAATATTGACATTTTCTTTGTTTTATTTAAAGTAAAATTTATATGTCTCTTAACCAAACACACTTTATTTGCTTTTCGAATCACCTTTTAAAGTTTAGCACTTACTGCATCACTCTAATTGACATACGCAATATTTATGAATTTCGAATGCAAAGAAAATGTATTTAAATACATTTGAAGCGCTATAAACTTTTTACTTAAACTTTTTAATTTAAGAAAACTTAAAAAAAACTCCGACAAAAGCGCGCTTAAGCAGCTGTTGATTTGCTTTCTACGTTTTTTCTTCTTACAGCTCATCCAAAGAGCACTTCAACACCGTAAGAGTTTCACGGAAAACACAACAAAGCAACAACTACAACAGCAACCGAAAACAGCATTTAAAATGTTGATGTCAAACCGTTTAGTGAGCTCATTTATGTTTGTCTGCATCAGCGTTATGCTGTGGCAGCAAAGCTCCGCCGATGTGCCGGATAACAGTGCGTATACACAATTGTCTTAACCATACACACACGCACAAACTTACCATAATACATCTATGTTTTACAGACGCACTCGCCAACTTATACAATAGCTTGCTGCAACGCGAATATGCCGGCCCAATTGTTTTCCCCAATCATCAGGTCGAACGCAAAGCTCAACGTTCGCCTTCGTTGCGACTACGTTTCGGTCGTCGCAGCGATCCGGATATGTATTTGCCCGCCGAGAAACGTTGGTTTGGTGATGTAAATCAGAAGCCCATACGTTCACCATCATTACGTTTACGTTTCGGTCGGCGCAGCGATCCCAGCATGCCATTACATAGCGAATTTGATGCTGTCATGAACGATTTGGCTGGCGTAAGCAGCAATGGTGGCATAACTGATGTCGAAGATGCGGCTGCCTTTTACGGTGATGAGTACCCTGAAGATCTGTATGACGCTGGTTTTGAACGTATAGTACGTAAGCCACAGCGTTTGCGTTTTGGTCGCAGCTTGCCAAGAATCCAGAATAATATCGATGATGAATTGGAGGTAAGTGGAATGAAAGTGAGGGAAATCATATGTGAGAGTGCCTGTCATTGTTTAAAATTTTAATTGAATGGCAAATAGAGATAATTGAAGCATAAATTTGAATGCTCTGAAGCCATAATGACAATAAAAGGAAGAGTCCTACAGGTTTTGAGCCTCCTTCGAATGGCCAGATCGAAGCCAAAGTAAGGGTTGAGAATTGATAGATCGTCGTAGTGTGCAATAAATCCCTGGATTCTTAAGATGGTTATTGACGATTATATGTACTTCCACTGATCTCTAATAGCATTCGAAAATATCAAAGAATATCCAAAATCCAATTCCATCCCTGAAGTTTGGATATTACCATCATATTACAAGTGAATACTGGATTCACAACGTTTTTTAGTTTCAATGATTTCATTTTATGTTGGTATTTAGAAAAACCTCGCTCCATTATTTATTTTTTCCTCCAGACAAACGATTTTTAAGCAGCGTCCTAACCACCAGATAGTTCTTAACCAAAAAGATCGGACAAATGGCTCTGATCGCATTGACTTGGTACTAATAGGAGTTTCACTTCAATTCGACGTTTTCACAATCTTCACCCTAGCTGGAACCCTAAACTTTAATTTTACCAAAACTCTTTCGTTCTGAGCATTAGGGATCCTGAAGTAAAATTTTGTACTTTGATAAATCGTTAATCAATTCTGAAAAACTTTTGATTTCTGAGGGAGGTAATCAATATTTTGCTTGGAACTGAAAGTTCTCATATCTTGATTTTATTTACTTTAAAGTGGAAAATTGTTTATTTTCTTATATTTTTCCAACATATCTCTTTTCACCTCAGAACGAACAACTTCAACAGACCGACGATTTTTTTAACTCCCTATTAACATCAGAAAAACTGCACAACATGTTGCTTTCACTCCGTCAGTATGATTCCGACAATGACGAATTCCAACGTGAAGTACGCAAACCATCGCCGCTCCGTTTGAGATTTGGCCGCAGCGCCGCCGGTACTACTGAACAGAAGGTATGTACGCATTAAACCAAATACCCGTTCGGCATAATATAAAGAATCCTAAAACATCTTCTAAAAGCTATTGAGAATTCTTAAGAAAAGTGTTTCAGATTTCAAAACTTAAAACAAAAGTCGTTTTCGATTCGAAGGTGGTGCTTGTCCAAGCGATTCTCCAAGTTCTTTGACCTTTATTGGGCAGTTGTTAGAGGACTTTAAAGTAAGCCTCCATAGAAGCTATTCCTCATCATTCCACTCAAAATTCTGTCTGGCGAGTGAGTTTTGCACGATTTTGCCAGATAGTGCCGACATTAGGAGATGTTAAGTCATTATGGGACCGCCATCATACATTTCTATTTAATTATGCCAGTTTACTGCATTTATAATAGTTGCTTGTTCGATATGCCACTCTTCAACGTTTGTCTAAATATAAATAGCTTTGCCTCTCAATTTCAACAGTAATATATAGAACAATTCGAAGTTCTAATTAGGGCATTCCCTGACCAGAGTACATATACTCTATAACTCCTCGAATAATTTTATTTACACAAAATTTATAGCTTATAACCAATAGGACATAATTCTCTAAGTTGGTTCCTACCGCTTATCTGGCATATATATCCATACTCAATAGGATGAGTCAACAAAACTAATATCAAATTTATGGTTTAAAATGAACCTATATATTGGATAAAAATATCCTTGACACGCTTTTTAGCTTCATTTTAAAAGGGGTCGGAGTGTGTTTTAAAGCTTTTCATATAAATATTAGGAAAACAGATATTTTTTCATTAAAAATATTCATATTCTTGTAAAGCAAAAAATTTCCTACAAAATCTTCGCACAGAAGTTTTGATCAATTAACCGGCCTTTGCTCGATTAAAGCGCTAATTTGGATCCATTTACCATACAAAATAAAAATCATATTTTACTACATTAAATCTTAATCGAATACAAATCGAGTTGAAACTGGAATGCAACTCTGCAAGTTGTTGCTTACGCTGGAAATTTTGCTGTATTTATTGATAAAATAGCAATCAGCTGATGAATTTTAATCATTCAACAAAATACAAAGGGAAGAACACAAGCAAGTATAACATCTGATCGTTAATCAAGCCTATCGTTAATCGAAAGCCGGCTATGTAAAAAGCATAAACTGGTTTCGCAATTATAATCTTAATATATTAATTAATTTGGCTGTGCGAAAAGACTATTAAAAAAAATGTTTCTCTGTATATAACATAGTATTAACTTTATCTCCTAAACTCGAATTAATTTTCTTTTTACTCACCCTAATACCCAAGAATGCGTATTAAAATAAAACTGCGAATTAAGAAACTGTTTGCCAAGTGTGTATTAAAACAGTAATCCATCTTTCTTTTACTTTTAAATTTTCTTGACGAATTATGGTGCTTCAACCCTTGAATTTTTCTCTTTACAGAAGGTCACTGCACAAAATGCCATTAATGTTGAAAAACCTGCGCCAGCATCACAACCACAGCAAGCACAAGCTAAGAATTAAATGCCGAATACTTAAAAATAACAAAAAACAAAAACTAGATAATTGGCAAAGGCAGAAAAACTCACTGAAAATTTTAACCCATAAAAAAATATATTAATTTAATATTAATACGTACTAACATACCCCCCAAAAAAATGTGCGCAATATTGTTATAACCTAACCTTGTAAACATGCAAACATATGTGTCCATAAAATTGAATGTTAAATAAAAATATTTATGAAAATATTAAAGAATACTTAAATTTGCTTACACATGTTTTTATTTGACGAAAAGCTGTTGTGCAATGCGGCTTGGTTGAATATCCTTTTTTTAAGTTTCCTTCTTACCTTCCGGTATTTCCTCAAAAACTAAATATGAAATTGCTCTTTAAGTATTAAACCTTTTTTTTATTTTTTTTTCTTTTATGTCTATTTTTTAATATTCATTTGTAATCAATATTTTTTTAATAAACCGAAATATTTTTATTTAAAAATTTGTTTATATTATATAATTTATATTATTTTTTTTAAATAAAATTTCTAATCAAAAAATCTTTAATGAAAAAAATTATTGGCGTAAATTCTTAGTGGTCTAAATTTTAACAAAAATTAAATTTTTAAAATTTTAAAACTTATTACTTAGGCTTACTTATTAGAAACTAATTTTTTGCCATAAAAAACCAGAACAATGCTATTCGAAATTTTTGCAGACAATGGACGTCAAGTAGCGATCTGAGTTTCAAAGTCAAATATTAATTATAAAAAAATAAAGATCTTTGTTTAAAAAATTTTTGAATTTTACAATTTTGGCTTAATTTAATTGTATTTAATAATTTTTTTATATTTTGAATATCAAGTTCTTTGTTTTTTTAATTTTTTCCAATTTTTCCATTTTTGTGCAATTTGGCCACCCCAAGCAGTATATTTTAATTTTTATTAAAATATAATATTTAGTAAATAATCTAAGCTGAGTATTTATAAAAAAATAATATTGTTTATGTGTTTGTTTAGTGTATCTGTAAAATTAAAAAAAAATAACCAATAAAATATACATCCATATTTATATAATCGAAAATATACACTATAAATAAATTATATTATTGCTAAAATTAAAAACACCTTTGAATTTTCAAAACTGAAAATAAAAAATTGGCCCCCTGAAGAAAATTAAATTGAAATTTAGTATGCAAAAACAAATATTCTAGTTTAAGACTTTGTTTTTGCATGTTAAACGGCGAAAATTAAAATCCTAATTTACAAAATAATTAAAAGAATTCATTAAAATTAATTAGCAGGTACTCCATTATGCTAAAACAATTAGAAAAATGTGTGTTAAATAAAAACAAAAAATTATAAAATATTACAAAATAAAATTTTAAAATATTACAAAATGAAATTATAAAAAATTAAAAAAAATTATGAAACGTATGCTGGAAAATAAACTGTTTTGTTTTTCATTTACACCATCAATGAAAATGTAAAAAGATCTTACACAGCTAACACCAAATTTATTTCTTTTCAACTTTTTTAATTGTTTAAAGTCTATTAGAAGAAGAATTTATTAAACATTTACATACATACATATACACGCTATAATAAAACATGTATGTGAGAATTACCACAAATCTTTAACGAAAACATATATCTATATATATAAATACCTATATGAATGTGCAATTATTATTAAAGAAAAAAGTCATCAAAGTTTTAAATTTAGTATAAAAAAGACTACTAAACTTGTATACACACACAAACAAATTACTTAGCGCAAATCACTAACATTGACATTAAACTAATTACAAATTATTACAAAAAAAAAACAATTATATAGAACATCAAAACTAGTCAATGCATAAGCAAATTAAACAAAATACATACATACAAATATATATCTAAACTATAAATTAAAAAAAGGCAAACAACAAATATTTATAAATGTAAATACATATATATATATAAATATATATACATTACATATATATAAAAGTGTAAAACTAAAAAACTTGATTTTATTTGCGAAAAAAATACAAAAAAATAGTTATTCTTAACACCATTTCGCATTGGTAGTTTAAGTATGGAAAATGTGGCTGAAACAAACAATGAGATAAAAACAAACAACTCGCAACAAAGCAGTAATAGTAATTGCAGCTAACACTTTTACATTCTCATGACGTTTATGTAGTGGACCAGTGGTGTACTTTGAGGAAATGAAGCAACTTAGCGCAGCTACTTACACACAAAGCAAGAAACAAAAACAAAAACAAAACAAAAATTGTCAACAACATTTTAACTGGTTACAAATACATACAAAAGGAAAGTTATAAAGAATAAAAAGTTGAAAATAAAACAAAGAAATAAAAATGAAAAGAAAGAAGCCAAAAAGCTTGTTTTATTCGTATTAGAGGACTACAGATATTTATTTATACAGATATTATTTTATTTATCTATATGTTTATATTTGAGAGCCCATTCAAAATTTAAACTTCGGGTAAGTTCTCAAATATATAGGATTGAGCTCTATAAGCGCAAAAAATCGAAATCACATATAGAACAAGTAAGGACGGGTCGACCAGAGGATCGGAATTCATTACATTAGTGGTATGAGGTTAAGACCAAAGTATATCCCGATTCCATTCTAATTCAGCGCTAAGCCACATAATTTTTAAGAAAACTTCCTCATTTATTTACATTAAAATATCACACATTCTGATCAACCTGAACGGTTTAAATACAGAAGGAAAAACGCAAATCGTTGTATGTGGTACAAGTATATTGATAATAGAGAAAGGGGATGGGCTGAGTGCATTATTTTTGACATTACTCAAGTATACTCGAGAACATATTTTGAAGCAATTTTATATATAAATAATACTCACTGACCGACATATTCGGCAGAACTTGTTAGAATATATCATTATAAGTAGTATATGGGAGTTGGGGGTAGTATTGACCCATTTTTGTAAATTTTTGCCAATACCACATACCACTAACATGCCACAGACTAATAAAAATGGTCTCAGAGTTTCATTACGGTACCTCACATACCATCACCAATTATATAGAGTAAAGTCAGCCAGATGCTCGAAAATCCTGATATTACATACATTTTAGGCAAAAACATACATTGTGATTAGCAAAACACGCTCTCTCTTTTTCACTAACTCACATATTGGCCGATATATGCGATAAAAAGTCACCCGGTCCCGATTGACCCGATTCAACCCATTTTTGACATTCAGACATACTATTAGCAGGAATGGATCCTCTCTTAATGTAAATTATATATCTCAGACATTGACCAATACTTTCGGTAAAAAGTCAATTATAGGCACTGGGGTCACATATTCGGTACGTAGGAGCTGGAATAGCTTTGGCTCAAATTGGACAATTTTGTTGCTCATAAGATGGCATACTTCAAAGGCATTATTCGTGCGAAGCTTTATCTCGATACATTAATTGGTGCTTGATTTGTATACTGGAAAGGGAAATAATCAGATAGAATTTAAGATTGTGTTATATGGGAAGTAGGGGTGGTTGTAATCCCATTTCGCCAATTTTCGCACTGTAATATAGGAATATCAAAAAAATGTTATGTGCCGAATTTGGTTCAAATCGGTCGAGGTGGTTCCGAGATATGTCAGTTCATCCTGACGGATCCTGAAAACTCTCAAGCGTTTTTGAGAACAAGAAAACAATTTGGGATGCGCAACCGTACTAGAAACCACCAACTGCCTGTGCCGAAAATTAGTTACGAGAAATTATGCGACCGATAAAAGAAAAAGCGTGCGATCGCGATTCCGATTTTTATAGAATTGAATTCTTTATTACAGTTCACATATCACTTAGCCCAAGTCTTATGCTAACGGCGTAAACTAGTTATAACGTAAGTATGTATTTACAAAAAAGTATAATTCATTTTGTTAAATAATGGTAAAAGATTAAGGTGGGCATTTTAACTAAACTATAAACTTTTTAATTTCAATTCAAATATTTAATATTACAATACAATTTATTTTTGGTTTTTTAAATAAATTTAATATTGATTTTAATTTGAACATTTATGATGTCGCTTGACGCAACACCGGCCACCTTGACAGGATCATTATCCTTCAACGTCGGTGGGCAGCAAGACGAGTTTATGTATAGTGCGCTTCATTGTTCTCGCCTTGGTTGCCACGTCTGCCACTCGTTCCCTTGCCATCTTGCCCTTTCGCGGTTGCGACGACTCGTCCTAGTACCTACTACTGCGGTAGTACGTTGCCTTCGTGAACGAAGATGAGATCGCCGGGCTGAAGGTTGCGTTTCGGGTGCAGCCATTTGTTGCGCTCCTGAAAGCCCGTCAGGTATGTCTTGGACCACTGCTGCCGAAACTATTGCTTGAGACAGCAAACAAATTCTTTTACCTTCAGAGCTAAATCCAGGCGGTCAAGAAACTCTTTTGGACTATTTTCCTGTAGAAAACTTAGACTATAACCATTTAGTTATAGCGCTAGGTGAAGGAGAAAGACCAATTGACATAATTCAAGATAATAATTCAGAAGAGTTGTCATTTGGAACAATATACGCTGGGCAGAAACGTATATGCTATGAAACATATAGCAATATAATATGTTCTGAAATTCGCCGTTTTGACAGAAGAGCGTGTACCATTCCAAAGTTGTTCTATGATTACAAAAAATTAAAACTGCTACAAATTAAGAATATTACATCCATTTGCCTTAGAAAGTTTTCAGGTCGCAACCGAGTTCGACACATGGAAAACTTTTTTAAAATTCAAATATGACAATAGAAGATATTTATAATTTAAACGATTTTGAACATTTCTTAACTGATAGTACAATAAATATGTCTTTTGATGACTATTTGGCTAACAAAAGATCAAGTTTAACAAAACCCAACATTTTTCTAAAAAGAAAATTACAGGATCGTTTTATTAACGTTTATAATCCTCTGAATTTGGAACTTCATAGAGCAAATATGGATATCCAATATATACTGGATGAATATGCTTGCTGTTCATATATAATTAATTATATTAACAAGTCTAACAGGGGAATTTCTAGGCTCTTAAATGAAGCTATATCAGAGGTAAATGCTGGAAATTATACTGTTAAGCAAAACCTTAAACATATAGGTCACAAATTTATATCAGGCACAGAAATATCTGCACAGGAAGCAGTATGTTGCTACATTGGGTTCCATCTTTCGGGAGCAAGTAATGCAGAAATATTTATAAATACCTCTCGACCTGAGGAACGTGTTCGTAGCCGATATTTTAGACCGTTATGTTCAAAGATCCGATAAGTTAGAAACTCTTTGTTCAGCTGATTTTGCATTTAAATAAAATAAAATTTTGTATAAATATTTTAAATCTAGTAGAAGAGCACAAGACAGTGATCATGAAGAAGAAGAGAGGGAAGACGATAATTTACCAGAAAGCGGGGTTGTCAAGCCTGTTAAAGACGGTAGTGGCTTACTAAAGCTTGTATAATTCGGCATTGAAAATTTAGATCACCAGAGTTGAGTATGTGCGCGAAATGGTAATGCTTTACTATCCATGGCGGAATTAACAGCAAGATCTTATTGAAAACGATAATGGGTATACTTGCATAACACATCGTATTTTAATTGAGGAAAATCAAAAATAATATGATGTTTTTGAGCAAAGAGAACTTGAAAATGTTCTAGAAAGTCTTTGTAATGAAAAATTACTTAAAGGAAGGTGCTCAAAATGAACTACCTATCTTGGAAAATGAGTTCAGAGTGTTGGCACTTCCAGAAAAATTAACAAATAATGGCACTGAATCTTATTGCAATATTAGATTTATTAAACTACCCCCCTTAATTCCAGTTGAGGAATTATTTTCTTTAGTTAAAAGTCTAAATACTAAGCAAAAAACCTATTTGAAACATTTGATGCACCAGCTAAGCAAATTGCCCATTTTATTAGTTCATTGGCGGCGGTGCAGGTGTAGAAAAGAGTCGTTTGATATCTGCAATATATCAAGCTCTTAACTATCGTTACAATTCTACACTTGGATCCAATCCAAGTTTCTTAAAAGTTCTTCTTTGCGCACCTACAGGTAAAGCAGCATTCGGAATAGGTGGAATGACCCTTCATTCAATATTCTCTTTACCTGTTATTCAGTTGAATAGAGCCCCTTCAGTGGCATACCGATTATAGTGTTTGGTGATTTTAAGCAACTCTCACCTGTTAGAGATAGGTGGATATTCTCTCCTAATCCCAATGATGCATACAGCATTTTAGTTGATTCCCCTTTGTTGGAGTTATTTATATACTTTGAATTAATAGAAATAATGAAACAACGGGAGGATCAAGCCTTTGCAATTGCATTAAACCATATGGCATCTGGTACTATGACAAATGAGGACATATCACTCATTGAAACTCGAGTAGTTAATTTTGATGACATACATTTATTTTGGTCCAATGAAGAGACAAATAATTTCAAAGCCCTTAAGCTCAGTAGAATCCCAACTGAAGCTACTCTTTCAACTACAAAAGACTCAGTTAAAGGAATTGGTATAAGTGAAAATGAGAATATTTTGAAAAGAGTTAAACTTTTCAAAACTTCTGAAACGCAGGGATTGCCCTATGAATTGACACTAAAAACCTCCGCCAAATATATAATGACAGTGAATATAAACACGTGTGATGGCTTGGTTAATGGGGCAGCTGGACAACTTATGCAAATTGATTTCCATTGTTCTTTTCCAACAATTCTATGGATTAAATTTTTGGAACCACGATCAAAAAAAAACTTATCCTCTAGAAAGTTCTTGGACACTAATTGAAAAAGTTCTTTTCAATATTCAATATAAAAGAAATGAACAAATTTCAATTGAAAGAAATCAGTTTCCAGTTGTTCCGGCGGAAAGAATAACTATTTATAAAAGTCAGGGCGCCACATATAATAAAGTTGTAGTTCATACTCGACTCAGAATGCCTAGAGCTTCAATATATGTCGCTTGTAGTCGAGCAACTTCTGCAGAAGGTCTATTCATCATAGGAATTTTATTCCTCTTAACAAGTTTTCTGAACCGGATCCTGTATTAAGGGAACTGAGGGAATTGAACAGAAATAAAGCTTTATGATTTCCCGAAGAGATTTCACGGAAACAAGCAACAGAAATAAGCATACAAGTAGTATTGCTAGCTCTATAGAACCAAAGGCTATAAAGAAAATTTATTCAGGCCGCAAAGTTTTAGAAGCGGTTTTGTTTAAATGTTTCAATATTAATATTC